TTTTTTTTTTTTTCTTTTTTTTTAATTTCCGTTTTACTTGTTGCCACAGACCGGTTACATATCTCTCCTCTTTCAGATCTCGCGGGTGCTGGCGTTGTTGACGTCAACACTAAATGCTCATCAGCAGCTCTGCGTCGGAATCAAATGCAGAATTGATGATCGCATCTGAATGACTGTAATCAAGTCTCACGATGATGATCGCAATTCCGCAACCAATCCTCTCTCATCGGGGGAGCCGTCTTCCGCTCAACAAGATGGTGAGTGAATTGATTAAAATCGGCGAATGAATTGATTGGACTCCATGAACAGTGAGCTGTCATGGGTTTCATCGGTTCATTTTCCCGCCACTTTTTGTTCATACTCACTGCCATCAAGAAGTATGAATGAATTTGATTGAACCAGCGACATGCTACACGCATCATCAGATTCTTATCAGATTTCATCATCGAACTGTCTTCCAGACAATAAACATCGTTCAAAATCTCTCTCTCTCTCTCTCTGTGCATCTCTCTCTCACTCTGCATCTCTCTCTCTCTCTCTCTCTCTCTCTCTCTCTCTCTCTCTCTCTCTCTCTCTCTCTCTCGTTGCGTCTCTCTCACTCTGCACCTCTCTCTCTCACTGCCTCTCTCTCTCTCTGTGCATCTCTCTCTCTGTGCATCTCTCTCTCTATCTCTCTGCATCTCTCTCTCTCTCTGCATCTCTCTCTCTGCATCTCTCTCTCTGCATCTCTCTTTCTGCACCTCTCTCCCTGCACCTCTCTCTCTCTCGACACCTCTCTCTCTGCATATCTCTCTCTGCATCTCTCTCTCTGCATCTCTCTCTCTCTCTCAATGTACAGAGAGAGAGGGTTGTTTCTTGTTCGCCTTCGCTCTTAGAGACGGAACTCGAATAGTCGAGGGAGAGTCAGTCTCGCCAACTGGTCATTCTAACAGAATACGGAATATCCATTTAATGAAACCTTCAAAAACGAAACCCCTGGCAAACCCCTTGAATCTCAAAGAAGAAGATTTAACCGCGGGGGGGGGAGAGAGAGAGAGAGAGAGAGAGAGAGAGAGAGAGAGAGAGAGAGAGAGCATGAGATCTGTAGACTAATACTTATGTAGACCCCGAATACCTCATTGATATTTCCATGTGTGCGGACGTAGCGGCACTGGTTTTCCTTGTAGTCCTGTTTGTTTGTTTTTTTTTTGTTTTTGAGGGGGGGGTCTTATATGTCGTGCGCCTGGTGCGAGGTCCCACTAACGAAGGGGATTGGATCAAGCGCCTGAATCTAGATGGGCTTTAAGTCGCGAGGCAGTAAAGCAGATCAATCGCGACTTTCTGCACCTGTCCACAAACACGTCCACATGCGGGTGTGCAGTCTAATCCTCTTCGCTAGAGGGACTTCGCCTCTGGTAATGGTTTGACGATTGCTTATAAAAGGCTAACATTTTCTTTTTTTTATTTTTTTTTGGTCGTTTTTTGTTTTTGTTTTTTTTGTGTGTATTTTATCAGTACTCGAGGGCTGTTCAGAGCTGGGCTGATTGTGTCCTGGAGCGAGCGAGGCGGAGGAGAGAGGGTGGCGTCGCTCTGTCTCTCTCTCTCTCTCTCAGTACTCATTTTTGCGATTCTTGGCGATTCTTGGCGATTCTTGGCGAGGGAGTGTTTTTCAAGTATTTGCGGATGCGAGGGACTAAAAAAAAACAAACGGAGTGGAAAGCAAAAGCGGGCAAGAGAGAGAAGAGAGAGAAGAGAGAGAATACCTTTCTCGGCCTTTCGGCTAAGATCAAGTGGTGTATCTGTTCTGATCATCAGTTTAATATCTGATCCTAGTGGTTCATCGGACCACCACCACCAAAAAAAAAAAAAAAAAAAAAAAAAGCGGGAAAGAGGAGGGTCGCCGTTATGGGCTGGAAAGCGCCACAGCAGTTGTTCAAGTGTTGGAAAATTCTCCGAGGAGACATGGTATGTGCTTCGCTTGCCTACCGGTAGCCCACTTAGGGGCAGACTTTCTTAGTGGGGAGCAATGGGTATTAACGGGGAGTAACGGAGAGGAACGGGGACTAATGTGGAGAAATGGGTGTTAACGGGGAGTAACGGAGAAGAACGCGGACTGATGACTGTGCGTAACTGTGCGTAACTGGGAGTAACGGGGAGTGACGAGGAGTATGGGAAGTGATGGGTGCGTAACGGTGTGCGTAACGGTGTGCGTAACGGTGCGTAACGGTGCGTAACGGTGTGCGTAACGGTGCGTAACGGTGTGCGTAACGGTGTGCGTAACGGTGCGTAACGGTGCGTAACGGTGTGCGGAACGGTGCGTAACGGGGCGTGATGAGGAGTAACGTGGAGTGACGAGGAGTGACGGAAGTGATGAGGGAGTAATGGGGAGTAACGGGGAACAATGGAGAGTGCCGGGGGGGGGAGGTAATGGGAACTACCGACTTCTCCCGAACTCGACGCACGCTGATAATGAAATGTATGCAAGCTATGTTTCCGGTCTGGTACAGGCTTAATGAGGTGCATTGTGTTCGGGGGAAGACGGTAGTGGGGAGCAATGGGGATGAAGTGGGAGAAACAGGATCTGTCCGCCATGAATTAAAATTAAGATAAAGAGTTAATGATGCTACGGTCTTCCCCCGAACATAACGCACCCTGATTCGGCATGCATTTGTGGCCAGAACGGGATGTGGCATTAAAAGGGAAAAAAACAAATCGCAGAAATAACCCCCATGCACAGTCCCTCTTTTCCCTCTTTTCCTTCGAGCATGCATGTTCTTTAAAGCTTTGATTGGACTTGCCTCTTGCCAATTCCTTCTGGTCATTTTTTCGTGCCAACGCTGCTGAGCCTCCCTGACAGCAGGGCATCTGACCGTTACTCCCCGTTACTCCCCGTTACATACATACATACATACATACATACATACGTACATTATACATACATACATACATACATACATACATACATGCATACGAGGAAACGGCAATATAACGAATTTCATTGTTCTTCGTATTATATTATTTGGGGACAATTGTTTCAAAGTCGGATTTGCTCATCAAGAAATGAGGTAAGGTGTAAAAGGAGAGAGAGAGAGAGAGAGAGAGAGAGAGAGAGAGAGAGAGAGAGAGAGAGAGAGAGAGAGAGAGAGAGAGAGATCACTGGCTTCGCCACGGCTGTTGGCTGCATCGGGCGTGTTGCAGGGCTTTGCAACCTGGACTCCTGTCTGTTATGCGGGCCAAGAAGTTTGTCAATCCGGTTTGTATTCCAGGTGCAAGCCAAGAAGTTCACATTTGTCGCAATTGGGCAAACACTCCCAACGCTATTATGGACTCCAACAACCTCGAGTCCTCTGCCAGCATTGGTTGCTTTTGCTGCCTGTCTCGGGGATATTTTTCTGTGCTTTCCCTTTTTTTTTAGCCGCCGGTCTGAGCTTCTTCAGCTCCCCTCCTCGGAAGTTGCAAATTTAACAGTCTGCTCTTTGCCTTGCTCGCCGTTTGTGAATAATGAACTTATCCTTCTGGAAAGGAAAGCACAGGAATGGACTCCACAGTAGCAGAGGAGGTGGTGGTCCTAGGAGGACTGAAAGATGACAATTTTATTTTTGCTTTTGTTGACGTGCTTTTCTCAAGTTTCGTGGGGAATCACTTGTCCCCTGTTCTGTTTTTGTTTTCTTTTTTCCCTCTTCCCCCCCCCCCCCYAAAAAGGGCGRCAGCTTTGAGATATCATCTTTGAACCAACCGCCCCTAGGGAATTCAGAATATCCGAACTCAGGTCTGTATTTCAGCAGTTCCCCCCTGATCTGTTTTGTGAGAGTCCGAACTTTGAACCAACCTTTGAACCAAACGGCCCTAGGGAACTCCGAACTTTGAACCAACCGGCCCTAGGGAATTCAGAATATCCGAACTCAGGTCACTCCACTGAAGCCGATGAACAATCTTTGAACAGCTCATCGGCTTCAGTGGAGTCCGGAACTCCCTAGGGCCGGTGGGTTCAAAGATTGCTCAACGGCTTCAGTGGAGTTCGAACTCAGGTCTGTATTTCACCAGTTCACCCGTGACCTGTTTTGTGTGTTTTTGACAGGTAATGATAATGGCAGGAAAGGACAAAGGTCTGACGGGTACGATCAGCCGAGTCGTGCGGAAACAGAACAGAGTTATCGTCGAAGGGAGAAATCTGGTGAGTTTGAAAGTTGGTGTGCATCTGCGATGATAAAGATCGTGACCCGGCAGATGATGATTATGGTTGCTGAGGAGGAGGAGGAGGAGGAGGAGAAGGAGGAGAAGGAGGGGAAGGAGGGTCTATTTCCCTGCCATTGATGGATATGGAAAATAAAAAATCCAACAAAACCATTTATGTGCGGGTTATAGTGAGTCAAGCATTGTGCTGGTGTCAAATTCAAATTTGTTTTGATCGAATCCGAAATTTCAAATTTGCTCAAATCGTGAGTCCAACTCCGGAGATCAACAGGAGGAGGTGAAATCAATTAATGGCACTCGGATTCAGTCCAGGATTTTGTTAGCATTTTGTTGTATGGTTGTGCCATGGCGTGACCGTCTTCAGCCGAATAGAACACCCCCACATACAGTTCATTATAATGACCGGGCGTTCTATTCAGGTGAAGAAAGAAGGTAGCACTGCGCACACTGGTCGGTCGAGTCAGCCCTGTTTGTTGTTTGTTGTGTGTTAATTCCCATGTTTGCTTTGCTGCGATCCCCGTCGTTATTGTTCTTTCTGTGTGCAGACTTGTTCTCTCTGTGTGCAGACAGAGAGAAGAGTAGTACTTTGGTGATGTAGTCATGCTACATCATTGCATACTTCCCATCATGTCGATCACCAAAGTATAACTGTTCTCTTTTCTTAGCTCTCTGTTTTGCAGTGCATCTGAAGAACCTCAACTTGAGTTGAGTTGCCCTGGTTGTTTGGGGGCAGGCATGCAGATAGATCTGCTGTGATGCACACTCTTTTTCTTTTTTCAAGGGCGGGGGCGGGGGGGAAGTGATCGGCACTTCTGATACAGTCACATGGCATATATATTATATATACATATACAGCTGGGAGGGTACTATATATACATGTACGTATGTATACCTGAGAGGGTAGTTGTCGGTAGCCAACCGTAACTGGGGTTAAGGAAGGTTATTATGATATTATCACTTTCATTACCATTTGTTAGGAGACTCTCGCGGCTGTGAAGGCTTCAGCCTCCTGATGAATCGGTGAAACTCCAACGAAACAGTCTGTTCTAGGCCCGCGTTACCTTGGCCACACCTGTGGTCATACTTATCTCATCGTCTTTTATAAGATCGGTACTTTTTTGAAAGAGACCAAGTCATAGGTGTACTATCCGCCTTCGTTTGAATGCCTTCCCTAATGATGTATCGCTCGCTGACTGTTGTTCAGTTTAACTCATTGGGACTCGGGGAGAGGTTTGATCTATTGCCATCAGAGGGAAGGAAAGTTCTGTATTTTCTGAATCCTACCCTTTGCTTAGCAGCAGCACAAAGCTGCTGAACTCATCATATGTATTTGCTGCTGCCACAACCCATCCTGTGAACGAACAAATGGTAGTGTGACCCTATGTAGCACACCGGACATGTTTGGGGCTTTCCCGAACGGCCGAACATGTTCGGATGTTCGGCCGAACGCCTCCCGAACGTGTTCGGTCGAACATTTTTTTTTTTATGATTTAAAAAAAAAAAAATTAATGCGAATTTGGTTACGAAGTTGATCATACTTCCCAGGCAAAAGTTGTTTGTATTATTATTTTACATAACATTTTTTTTTTTTCAGATTTTTCTGAGAACTGTTTTTTTTTTTTTGGTTTATTCGCGTTCGGCGGGGTTTGGCGCTGGTTCGCGTTCGTTCACGAACGTTCGGGTTCGATCACCGAACGCAAACACGATGCTACACAGGTGTGACCGTTAAATGTGTAGAAATCTTCCAACCACGCGTTCACTCAATTCCTGTTGTTGTTGCTGTGTGTGTTTTAAATTTTCCCCACAACAGCCCCAATGCGATGCAGACGAGTAGATTCTAAAAGGGCCTTTACCCGATTCAGCCCCTGCTCGACGAAAGCAGTATATTGGGGTCCCTCGCCCAGAGTCCAATTCGTGAAAGCAGATCAAAAGACATGTTCTCTGGGTCAAAGGTCACATCCTAACTAAAGCAAAAGACATTGTCAAAGGTCACAGTTGTGCCCCTGGACGAACAGTTGCAATATTTAAATGTTTGGGTCACATTCTGTTCATCCAGGGGGTGTGCAAGTCA